ATAATTTATATATATATATATATATATATATATATATATTTGTGTTTGTGTGTGTGTGTGTGTGTGTGTATAGACAGATAGATTAAAGTAATGAACATTTGGGGGGAAATGTGTTTAATTGTCAAGAAAATAATTGCACTAAAAACATTAATGGCCTTAAAAATATTTCTTGTTTTCTACATGCAAACTACAATTTTGCTGTTTTTGTTATGTTGTTTTTGTTTTGCTTTCTAGGCATTGTGAAAGTCACCCTACTGCATTTCCGACAATCGTAACTTTCTAATTCACATTTTGCTTCTCTTTATGAATTGAGCGATTCAAGCCTTGAAAAACTTTCCAAAGTCCTGCCGAGCGTTTTTTTTCTCTCTCTGTCTCTGATGGGAACGTGGCGTCTGGCTGTGAATTATTCAGCCAGGCGCAGGCAAACGTCTCGCTCTCTTCTCCTGTTTCCTCGCGTCACGCTGATGGCGCTATAAACGCGAGCCGAGCGTCAGCGGCACAGCAGAGCCATTCATGCTCATTCCTGGCAGCTCGGCGCTGACTGGTTTAACAGGGAAACTCTTTTGGATGGTGCAATAATGTTAATGGATCAAGCACTGAAATAATCCACACACAGCTGCTTTAGCTTTGCCCAGTTCTCACAAGCTGAAAATGATATTTGTAATGCAATCAATGGGGAGAGTCAGAACGTTTTGTGCCTCTGAATGAAGTCAAGTGGACTGACCTCGTCCTGCAGTGAATCGGAGTCCAGTTTGAGCGAGAGGTACATGACTATGTGTGGGACATGTGCGATGGACATCTGGAGCTCGACGGTGTCCTCGCCCCACAGCAGACGCACCAGCTGACTGACCGCAGGAGCCGCCTTCGCTCTAGAGTCCGGACCGATCCCGACGGGACAGACCGTCTCCAGAGTCAACCTCACCTGAGAAACACAGAGACACAACCTGAAATAAATACTGCAATCACAACAGGAGAAAATCAACAACACAATCATATCAAGCTGTTTACAGCCAATAAAAATAGGGCTCAATGTATTGTGTGACAAATGTGACCCTGGACCCCAAAACCAGTCATAAAGGTAAATTTTTTTAAATTGAGATGTATACATCATCTGAAAGCTGAATAAATACGTTTCCATTGATGTATGGTTTGTTAGGATCGGACAATATTTGGCCGAGATACAACTATTTGAAAATCTGGAATCTGAGGGTGCAAAAAAAATCGCCTTTAAAGTTGTCCAAATGAAGTTCAAAAATTAAGGTTTAATATATTTACGGTAGGAAATTTACAAAATATCTTCATGGAACATGATCTTTACTTAATGTCCTAATGATTTTATATATATATATATATATTGCAAGAATTAAATACATTTTACACACACACACACACATTATTTCAATCCAATTTTTCTGTATTACATGACATATACAGTATATACACATATGTATGAGTGTGTGTGTATATATATATATATATATATATATATAT